CTCTGCTTTGAATATTTCCTGTGTTTAAATTCACACAACTTGTTTTTCAGTCTTATCCAAGATGACAAAAACAACATTCATTACTAAAACATGGCATAACTTTAGTTTTGTAAAGTTGAGAACAAAACGATAGGAAAATGTTGGGAGCCCAAGAACAGCCCGCCCCTAATTTACATACAATGTGTAAAAAATATTATGTAAATCGATCAATTCCGTTATACGGCGTGTCCTCGTAAAATGATATTCTCATGGGAATGAATAAACAATTGTGTTATGTATAATATGTCTCGAAAGGTTTCTGTGTACCACGGAGATTTACAATAAGTAAGAACAGTGACTATCACCATCTGTCCTTCCTTTTAGACAGTACCCTGAGTACGTTATTCGCAATAAGCTGATAAAATGGTTATAAAAATTTTACATGACATAAAATATAGAACTCATTAAGACCTACAACTTGCATTCCAAACATCTGTTAATATGCCGAGTATTTAAGGAAACAAAGCTAAATATTTTGTGACTCAGAATAAAGTGGCACGTGGGAAGTGACTAATTCTGTGGCAGCATTTGTAGAAACAAGTTAACATGAAGGCTGATACTAATTAGTACAAGGATTTCAAATAACGCATTTGGAAGGTGCTATGGACTAGAGGAAATGTTCAACGATGCTGAAAGAAATAGTTCTCAAAGCACTACACGATCGTAGGCTTTTCAGCTACGCTGTACCAACTGCATGTTTCATGAAGGACCCCATGAGATAATGACGTACCTGAAGAGGAAGGCAGTTATCTATTTCAAGGTCACACCAAGACATTCGCCTGTAAGGAATGGCGAAAACCATGCAAAATTAATGTGTCCCGAGTGAGACTGAAGCAAGTAGCTCCAGAATAAAATTGAGAATTAAATGCTGAGCTAACCATCTCTGATTAACTAAATTTGGTGCAGTGAAATGCACAAACCATGAAAACAACCGTTTCGATTTGTTAAGCAAATTGGGATCCTTCACTATTCATACTGGGGCCGACACACTCTTTTCACTTTATCTTTTACGTGCTATGTCCTAGTTTAAAGAAAATACACACAAATGCCACAGATACTTACGTTTAACAGACGAGAACTGAAACCAGACGGGCCTGTTGCTTCATTACGTTATTTCGTTTGTAGCATGGAAAGAGTTAAAACTGTTAATGTGTCCAGGAATGGATGTAAATATTATATATTCCGAAAAGTCTTTAGAAGGAAAAAAATCTTAGTGCACATAACTTAGAGCTTATCAGTCGATATCTTTAAGCGTACGGATAATACTAGCTGAATGTTTACAGTTATATAGGGCAAAAGACGTCTCCCGCACTGAAACAACAGAAATGATGTTTATTAAGGGATATTTTCTCTTACACGATCGACTTATTGTACCACATTGCTTCTTGATATGTTTGTGGACATTTTATCAATTGCATTGGTTATAGGTCTAACGCGCCGAACAGTTTGGGCCAAAATGATGAATCGAGTGGGGATGGAGAAAGCAGTGTCTTATTTTGTGGCGAAATCACTTTGCAGCAGGAGACAGCGGGTAACGCACAGAGACTCGAACCCCTGACCTGCAGAATACTGAGCAGAAGTGCTAAGCTCTACACTGGGACAGTCGGAATCGTATTGAACATCAAAAATACTAAATATATTCGACACTCTTCGTTAAAAAGCTCAGTAACAAATTTTTGAAGTGGAGGACGGCAGAACTTCAGTCGACATGCGGAATTCGTCATATTTCGGAATCCGATACTGAACGACGACATGCAACATCAGGCAGTTCGATTGGCCTTAACTTTGGTGGTAAAAACGCAAAATTATATGAACTGTGATATAACTAACTGACACGCAAAGGACACTGCGTGGTCCTTGTACTTCTGGAAGACCGGGAAAACTGGATTCAGAATTCATTTAGAAAAAGGGACCAAACGCGAAGTCACCCAAATTATCTTAAACAAGCACAATACAAGCCCTGCGTTAGGGTCCAGCCGAGTTACTTCTCATATACTACAAAAATTAATCCTGTATTAGTACCCATAGTCACACTGATGAACCGCGGGGTATCGTTTTTATTTTTGAAGAGAGTTGGGTGAGTCCCTAGGCGCTTCGGCCACAAGTCGGTGCATCGTATCAATCCAGATGATGATAATGATGGTGGTGGTGACGATGATGATGATGATGACCTGATGGGGTACACAGAAGGTAACAACTTTCTGTATAAAGTGGCTTTCTTCCACCGTTATGGTTGGTCATCTTCATGTATCTAGCGAATGGAAACCTACCAGGTCGTAAACAAACTTGAGTCACAGACATTTTATTACGGGACTCCTTGGTCTATCATAACGCACAAGTCGAATTAAATTAATCGTTAGATTTCCATTACTATTAGCATTATTAACATAATTAAATATACAACCCTGTAACAAAGGGGAAACTTCATGTTAATTTAACTTTCAACATTCTATGGTTTTCCGCCATTCAGTTCCCTGAGCAAAAATTGCATTCCCTGCCAGAACACGAACTCATACATCTGCTCATTGTCTCATTTACTACACAGGTGCAATTTAATAAGGCAGTGAGGTAGGTTTCTGTCCGCGGCAAAGTAACTAACTGACCAGGAAACAGAATGAAATTCAACCTACAATACTGGTATATAAATATGGGGATACACAAACATGGAAACATTTATACTACTATAGCCATTATACACTGCCGCGAGTTAACTGCAAGTGTTCCTGCTATTCGTCAGAAGTGCAGAACCACTGACTGACCTTTGTGCTACTTTGTCGTCGCTGCCTGCGTCTACAGTTAGAAATGAAAACATTCAGGATATTTTATTTGTTGTTGTTGTAATAGGATGAGACCACGTCTCAGGGGAATTATGTGTCTAACGGGGTAACTGAGCATCCCTCCGGCAATACATGGGTGAATATAGAGCAGCGGCTGAAAGATGTTGACAGGGCAGAACCGAAAACTTGTCCCATTGCCACTTTGACATCCATAAATCTCCACCCGGGCGCCTCCAAGGCAAGAGGCTTGATTCCTTACTCTGAGGAAGTAGACTGATTGCAAAATTTTTATTTATGGCCATCGTTTCGCTAGCAAAAGTAGGTCTAAAATAATCAACCAGGAAAGAATAGTAACTCAAGACAATGTAAAGTGATTAATCTACCTACGTAATTTTCTATACCGTAAGCCTACCCAGTGACAATTATCAGCATTTTTAAAGCTTTAAGTCATTCAATATAAACACCCCACGCATGTTTGTTTTACTTTGAATTTACGAAAATAAATGTAGGAGTTCGAAGGCAAGATATATGTAACCCACAGTACATTTTTATTGGGAACAAACGCACATTACGAGAGTTAAAGAAAAACGGACTTTCACATGGGAAACTGATAAACTCCATTTACCTACATAGATATTTCGAGGAATTATAAGAATACTAATAACCCTTGCGATAAAGATCGAGACTTTCAGTATATATTGTGATACACACAGTGAAACCGAAACTATCATGAAATAAATTAATAATTAAATTAAAGCATGTTTTTCGAAACAAGCAAATTTTGCTTCACTCCACTCCACTTCAAACCCATTCTTCTGAACAATGTACGCAACATCTGTAAAACAGGACCACACTTTTTCCTAGTGAAAAGCACACACAATAAAAAGAACAAAAAGCAAGAAACGAGAGGAAGAAACACTACTGTGTGTGTTCATATTACATCTTAAAATATAACTTTGCTCAGCGTGATTTATATTACATGGTAAATTTGAATAATTTACTATTATTCACATGGTATTACGTTACAGTGTCTATTATAAACGCGAGTATGAGAGAGGGAAACAATAATTTAGAACAGAAATCGTAAACTAACTACGCTGGAATATAAAATCACCTAATAAGGCGATATTCACTAGTTTCTGAGAGTCCCCATTTCGAATTATACCACAATGTACCAAACATCGCAACTAAATTTTAATATCAATTCTAACGAATATACTCTGCCATTTATAAATTCTAAAGAGTTCTAAATGTATAAGGACTCGTAGAACGCTGATCAGTCACTGTAGCTTTCATTTACTTCGATAACCTTCCCTAATAAGGTAGTAGGGGTCTACACGTACTTAGAAGGCTTTGGAAAACCTCAGTAACAGGACAACATGAACAAAGTTTAAATTATGTACGCAAATATTAAGTAATATTTGGATGTAAATACATGAACAAAATCTGTGTTCATGTTTGGACGCTGGCAATGAATCGTACCCGATTACATTCACCATCTACAAATTCCGTTTGTTTTGTTTCTAACGTAAAATGGCTTTGACTTGTGGGTAGGAAGAGTTTGATTCTGCCATACTAACCGCAAATGCTTAGGCTATACAACAAAGCACGGTGCTAATGTTGGGCCTACACGCCGACATATAATTAAATTAATTAAAAATAAGTAATCTACTTACAACGCCAAACTTTCGTGCAGTTGTCACGCCGTCATTTTACAATTTCCTGAAAACTATTGTAGTAATATCCGAGCAACAACCATCATTCAAAATTCAGAACCCTGCACTGAATAGCATTAATATTGTTCCAGACATAATATTCGTGCTGTTATGTTGGCATGGTTCATGGTACTTCGTTAACAAACAGATTTGAATGATTTCCAATGTCATGCTGTTCAGACACTTTCACGTCAGTAGGTCAATTAGTGTCCGGAATTCAATCAGGCTACTAGCAGAAACGTGCAGTAGATCCATGCCTTTCATTTAAGAAATTCACGAGCTGGGTTTTCGATTCAGTCTTTTTAATAATAAATATCAAGTACAATTCACCAATATCACGCTTCATGAAAATGTATTTAGCCATTACCAAGTTGATACATGCGGGCAAGCAGACAGATAGTACAAAGCTGACAGAAGCGTTTTCACAACTTCTAGCTGTCAACGTATAAAATCAATTATTATTTCTTACCCTGGTATTTCCGATAATTGAATCCGTATTTAATCCAGCAAGCTTTGCCATTTTGTGACGAAGACTTTCGTACACAGCAGCTGCTTGGTGTTCGCCATGTTGGTTATGCGACTGTTGTGCCATCTGTGGTGACCTTGACGACTGCGCAGAAGCAGACATCTGCTGCTGCTGGGAGTGATGTGGGGGTAGAGGGCTGTTGCTGGACTTATGATGTGGGGGTGATAGCGGAGTTCTTGGCGGTGTAGGAGGTTGTGAGGGTGGACTTGGAGGTGGTCGAACAGTTAGACTGAGAGGATTCAGACGATGGTGTGAAGATGGATGATGTTTCGGTGATAACGTCTCCAGAATTTTACCTGAAAAAGAAAATAGTAAAGACATACAAATTCAAGTTGAACTTGGTTTAGTTATCACATACGTTTCTTCATAAAATTTCTTTACTTCCTCGAATATGAGAAAAGAAGCTGTCACTATTGAAATCTTTGCTGTCTCTGATTACAATCACACTGATATAATAAGACCTGCTGGAAATAAAAAAATGTGAACTCTGGAATTATGGGTGTGGGTAAGATAAATACTTGTCTTTTATTTTGAGAATTAGTAATATCATCTGAACAGAATATCACAAATATAATAAGTTTTTGAAATTGTATTCCGACCTATGACTTCCCCCTTTCTCCCTTTATCTCTTCCTTTGTTCCTTTCTTTCCTGTTATTAGGAGCTGATACAGTCTACCGACCAAAACAGATTTCAAACAAGGAGCGTTATAGTAGCAATCCTAAATGATTTATTGCCACTCACAAGTGGAATAATTACGCACCCAACAGACGCCGAGCGAATAAGAGAACATTCCGAAAAAACGAAACGCCTGGCAATACGACATGTGACAAATTCGATGAAAGAAACTAACGGGGAGTTTGCAATTGTATAAACACGTACAGCCCCTCGTAAAATTATGGGAATGAAAAACCAAAGTTGTTTAATAATATGTTGGTTGGAAGTTGAAGGTTACGTTGGTAGATACTGACAAAGGCCTGTGGGGATAAAATGCAAATACACAAAATACGACAATCACTCAATAATAACAACATCCGTTTACGACAACTGCGCGTGCGCAGTAGGTAACCAGGTGGCGAGTGAGTTGCGAGAAAGATAATCTCTGACAGTTATAGGACTTCCTCCCACTCATAAGCACAAAGCATTCTGGCAGTAAAGAATTCAGCACAGGATTAACAGCCAACACCTTCCAAAGCTCCGACATTTTCAAATTCGATGTCTGGGTAGAAGTTTAATCGGACCATCTGCATATATTTAACTAACCTCTTCTTGATAACCTAACAGTCGCTCAGCAAGTTACGAAATTCCCAGTGTATTATAAAACCAAAGAGTTCACTACCATTTTCACAAGAGAATACCGTTGATCCCTATGATAACCAAAGAAATTCATTCATTCCACACCCTCACAACTTATTCTTTAAGATATTTCCTTTGAGTTTTGATGAATTTACAAATGTATTTGTCAGCTTAACATCGAGGCAGTCTGATGTAAGAAATACAATGGAAAATATCGTGAAAGCAAAAACCAAACAGCAGGACAGCCCGATAACAAAACAAAACAGAATTGAACAACTCACTGAAAAAAACATACAAATTTCAAATATCGTACGAAGGCGTTGAAGTGAAAATATCGAGGCACGACTGACACGCCATACGGAACAGTTAATCTAACACGTGTTTTAAAGGCATGAACCACAAAAATTATTTAGGCATATATATATATGTATATATATATATATATATATATATATATATATATATATATATATGTATATATATGTATATATATATATATATATATACACATCCATGATAATCCAGGTCGCCATTTCCACCCTTGTCGCCACAGTCGCCTAGATGGGCACAATAGCACTGCGGGCACTCTGCTATTATTTAATGATTCAGTCCGTACCGCAAGGAAAACGAACAGTTCTCATTTCGAAGATCGGTTCGTTAACGCTGTTTTCTGAAATAATTATAGTTTACACCAAAAACCATACGGAACATAACAATGAACACTTACAATTTGTCCAGCAGATGAGACAAATATTTACCACTAGGCTTTAAGGGGTTAAAGAAACTAGGAGAGAGGGTGGGACTGGATTCATCTCAAGACGGAGACCAATGGCGGAATCTTGTGAACACAGCAACGAAATACGGAATGCGTAAAAGTCGAAAACTTTCTTGGCCAGCTGAGCGATTATCAGCTCCTCTAAAATGTCTGTTTTAAAGGTGGTACCAAGTCAAAGTCAATAATTTGTTGGAATGCACTTTGTTAGGGACACGCATTCCCAAGAAGTAAGCTTGTATTTTCTAGACACGAAACTGTTTTAATGTTTCGTAAAAGAAACATCAGACACAGAACAGCGCAAAGGGAATCCCAAGAGTTTGTGATTTCTGCTGGGGGGGGGGGGGGCACACAACCTGTTCAGTGCGCAGTTTTAACTGCCTCTTCGCAAGAGTGACACATGTAACAGCTACAAATACCATAATAAAATAAAACTGTGAGACACCATAAACTAATTCGATGCAACGCGGGTAACAAAACATTTTTGTAACAAATTTGAACAAAAACACCGCTCAAAAATCTAAATATACTGGTAACTAATAACAGCTCAAAATGTCTATAACGACACATGAGTTATGCTACTTTCTATTGCTTTTATGAATTAAATTTCAGTTTTCTTTAATTCACAACGCGCTTTCTGTAGGAGTTCAAATAGGTGTATGAAATTTGTTTGTGGATATTAACAGATATATTAAAATATATAATATCGGCATTCATTCAATATTTTATGAACCATCAATTTTAATTTGGATTTAGGACAGGGCAACGATGTGAAAATTTGGGATTATGTCTGAAAGTTCCAAGCTGGATATACACTTTTAAAACAGAAGTTAAATGTCTACAGATATGCCTATACGTTTACAATTAGGCAAACGGGCCTAACTGTGGTGGGTTCTGGTGAGCGCGAGTCATCCTCCCCTACAACAATAATGGACTAGAATTTTGACCTGTCCGCGATATATGTTTTTGCGTAGAAATTATGATATCAGTCGTCGCTGGAATAAGAAGTGTCAAGAGAAATCGTGGTTAGCCCCAGTGCCACTTTGTAGATCAGAAATTCCACGCATGTGAAATAGAATCCCATCCTTAATAGCAAGAAGTCGTCCCAGGTAACAACGCAGCCATCTTACAGAAAGCATTAGGTAACTTTGCAGGACCTCATTACGGCGCGACTGTAATATTCGTGCACGTTTCAACAAAATCCAAGGATCCTTAAAAACATGTTGCACGTACACCTAATCAGGCTGTAAAAGAGACATATCCACTTCAGACCTTGAAATACGGCACACGTTTTTAAATAAAGTTTTATTACTTCTACATATTTATTACATCTTTATGCCCTTTTTATATTCAAAGTTTTATAGGACCGCTATAAGTATTACACCCCGGCTAGTAAAATGTTTCGAATAAAAGGTAAAATATGAATGCACAATTCTAAACGAGTGTATCATTTGGATATGCCAGCAACACACTTCTGGACTTTAAAAAGTTATTTATAAAATTGAAAGACGCTAAAATTATCACGAATTACGGAAACTGACAGAAACACCTAATTTACTGGAATAAAAAATCAGCATGTGCAGGTATTAGTATCCCTCTGTATTTTAAAGTTATAATCACGGGAGCTTGGCCAGACCGGTGTGGACATACACGTAAACCAAATTTACAAGCTAGTTTTGCTCCTGGACAAAGCCGTGAAAATACGTACATGGTAAGATACTTGAAGGTTTCTGTCTTCTGGGTTGTTGCGCTGTGTAGTATGGTCGAAGTTTACCAACGTTTCAAAGGTCATATTGTCTCCGCCATCAGGGCGATGACTACACAGCGTAACAACCCAGAAGACAGAAATCTTCATACTTACCGCTGTGAAAACCTGAAATTTTACATGGTAAGATACTTCTTTTCCGTGTCTTCAATGTTAAGAATGCCGTGAGGCTCAATGCAAATAATTTTTCCTTCGCTCAATCTGTCTTATAAAACGCACGTACATTGTAATAAAACAAAAACACAACAAAAGACCTACCACGTAGAGAGAACATGAAAGTATGAATTAAATATTAGACCTACGGATACATTCCCTCTCACCAAAAATTATTCCGAAGATCATACAACAAGTTTAATGTTAAGGAGTTAGGAGGTTTAACGTATGGACGGTTCAGAAGCCAACCAATGTTGAGTCAGAAATGTTGATCTTTTGTTTGTGGATTATTATGGGGTTTTATATTAATTTAAGGTTTTTCGCTAATAATCGTTAAGGTGTTAAGCAATAGCTCCATAAAACATTGCTTTCCCATACGGCTGAATTCAAAATACCTTCTGTCTCTCTGGAGAAAGTTGCGTTCTGAACCGTCTGTATGCCAGTGGAGTCTGAGAGAGTACAAACATCAGTAGAAGCTTCCTCTGTTTTTTGGCCAGCAACCGGAATTCCCGGGACTAAGAAAGATGAAATTTCCTGGCCTATTTCAAGAAAACAAACGCGTTTATTCGGCGAAGTGACGCTAAAACAGAGTGTGTTCCTAAAAATAAAAACCATGCCCATAACAACTGCGCAAGCTGAAGACACACGAAGTAATGGGGAATGTATGTAATTCTTAAAATTTATTTTATTCGTTGCATAATTGTAATTACATAGACATATCACTAAGGTGATATAGTCGACACTGAAACTTTATAATTTGCATTTTAATTGACCGATGTCACCAGTATTCTAATTTTATCGCCAAGTTTCAATGAAGGACCCACATGAGGAAAAATTAAATTCAGTCAATGATGACAACACTCAACAGGGTCGATGAGTGTGTGTTAATGTAACGCACGCGTAAACAACAACTAAAAAGCTAATTTTGTTAATACTGACACTTCACTCCACCCCACTCTAGCAATCTACAAAAATTATGCTGGTGGTTCTAATTCACAGGCAGCTGTTAGCTCTGATAAGCGACAGGCGGGTTGTAGGGACTGGGATAAACCCTGTAACCTAAGCTACACACGAAGTTCTTGCAAGAACGTAGTCGTTGAAACCTACGTCATTAAAAAAGTTTCAATTTGTAGTCCATGATGACGCTATAGGGTCTCGAAGCTGGGAACTCTTGAATGTGAATCAGGTGTGCTAACTACTCAATCGGTACATTTCGTAATATCTATAGTTTGTATAGAGTAATCAGAAAGTGCGTGCAATCCCAAATACCATAATGTAATGTAAATAAATAATAAATGCATAACTGTTCGTA